AAGGGTTATTTAAAAAATACTTAAATATTGTGGGGTAGAAAGAATGCCCATTGGACATCTCCATCCCATGATTGCTTCATCTCAGTTTACCTACAATATAGACTGGCCTCTTGTACTTAACTGCCATGTGTTGTCTACACAGTAGTGCCTATCTTGCAAGGAGAAAAGTAACATGCTAGCTATTCAGATCATTTTCTGAGAGCCAGGCCACACAACAGTAATACATTTCTATAGTTTACCACTAATTTTGAATGAGAATCCATGCAAGACAAAGGTGGAAAAGAGAACAAGAGGGATGCACAATGTTGCCTAGAAAAGCAGCAGGCATAGTGGAGTGGAGGGTGGAAGAAAGATAATAATAATAATAATAATTTTTATTTGATACCCCGCCCCTCTGTGCGCAATCGGGGCGGCTTACATCATAAAATCATCAAACAGTAGTTAAGAACAATTTCCTCCCCCTCCCCCCCTTAAAAAGTTATTAAACCAATTACAATGTAAAACACAATATTAGGAGGTAAATTCCTCCATATAAAGGCACCGAAGCAATACATAAAGGAAAAAATACAGGCAGATGTATAAGTACTGGCTCGTGAGGGAAACAGGCAAATGCAATGTCCCTTCAGGTGTTTCCTTGCTTGAACCATATAAAAGGTTTAAAGTAGGATGTGAATGTGAAGGTAAGCCCTACTTCCAATGTGCCAGAACACCTGAAAATAAATTATAGACCATCATATATTGAGTTAGGAGGTCAGAAGATCCCTCTGTAATCACATTTGGCTGAGCAGGATTCCTATGAGAAGGAACCCAACCATACCCAGCTTGGTCTCCATTCACCAGGCCATCTCCAGGTGGTTTGGATGAATGAAGATGGGAGAGGGAAGGAGAAGAGTTAGGCAGGAATCACCCATTATTAAGCAAGTAATTTGTAGGCAGACATGGTCTCCATGATGGCGAACAAAAGCATTATTCTACATAGAATCAAAAAGAGTTCGAAGAGACCACAAGAGCCATCAAGTTCAACCCCCTGACATGCAGGAATACATAGTCAAAATACCCCTGATAGATGACCATCCAGCCTTTGTTTAAAAACCCCCAAAGAAGGAGCCTCCACTATATAATATAATAATAATAATAATTTTTATTTATATCCCGCCCCTCTGCCAGGCAATCGGGGCAGTGTACAACATTACAAAACTTAAAAACAATACATCAAATTAAATCCCGTCCCTCCTTCACTCACCCGCCCATCCCCCCAAACATACAAGCAAACTAAATAACAGTAATTAAAAATACAATTTAAAAGCATAATTTTCTTGTCAGCATGGTGCTGCCGAAGGTGTTCTGGGCAGCCCTATATAGCCTCCAGCGTCTGCGGGGGTAGAGCGGAGGAGGGGCAGCTCAGGCTGCACAGGTGTTCTCCCAGGGCTGGTCCTCCGGAGCTGGTAACTGTCCTCTGCAGCCTGGAGGATGCTGCTGCTCGCCACCTGGTGCTCGCCACCTGGCACTACTCTCCAAGGCAGTACATAGCAGAAAATCTTTAGGACTATGAAAAGAATCAGTATTAGGGACCACAATGGAAAATGGAAAAAATTCACATGGAAGAAAAAGATTAGGAAGAGGAATGATTTGGAAGAAGAAATGAGTTGAGAATAGAAGAACTCACCAGAAAGCTCCTCGATGCTAATGCCACCTATCCACAGTTTTTCTGGACCCTGAGAGACCAAGAAAAGGGCAAAGGAGTGGACACTTCTATGAAACTCACAATCTATTTCACAAAGAACTATGATCAGATTGTTCCTCGTAAAACATGCCATATGAACAGAATGTTAGCCAGTCATTCTCTCACTTTCCTCTCTATTTTTCATTCTTCTCTCTGTCTACTTTCATAGAATCAAAATACAAAAAAATGCCATTTTCCTAGGACAGACAACATGCTTTTGTAAAATAGGTCTTTAGAAAATAGAATAAGCTTATTTTCTGCTGCTCCAGAGACTAGGGCTTGAACCAATGTATTTAAATTGCAAGAAAAGTGATTACACCTAAACAATAAGAACTTACTGGTGGTAAGAACAGTTTGACAGTGGAATAGACTGCCTCAGAAGATAGTGGGCATTTGAAGTTCTCATTTGAAGTTTTTAAATAGAAGTTGGATAGGCATTTCTTGGAGGTGTTTAGCTTGGATTCCTGCAGGGCAGGGGCTGGATTAGATGGCCCTGGCATTTATTTCTGCCTCTATAATATGATGATTTTATGAAATTTATGACACTTACCAAAGCATGCACACTCTTTCCATGAACTACATGCCCTAGATATTTTGTTCCCCTTCTGCAAGCAGAATATTTCTGTTCAGGTAAGGTTTAGTAGCCAATAGATCCTACTACTGGAGAAGAAGAAAGGTGAGTTTTGATAATTAGTTTCTTCTAGTCGCCTTTTATAACTACTACTAGCAATCTGGAGGCAGATTTTTCAGGTGGCCCTGGTAGCTGGAAGCATGGGGGTTGGAAAGAATTAGTTGAAACCTTCTTCCAATAGGAGTAATATTCCATGAGCATAATTCTGAGACACTATTGAGTAATAAAAGTACAACTCCATCAAAAATGCTACAGAATTAGATTCAAGATTGTCTAAAACTGGGTGTAGAGTCATTCTTCAGTTCCCCAAGAAAAAAAATCTAAAACTGCTAAGGACTTTTACATTGACCTTAACAGTATTTCTAAAGATTTGAATCTTCTACAAACATTGGGGAAAAGATTGTTACAGATTCCTATACTCACATAAAGTGGAGTATCTACTTCATCTGCACTCTGGAACAATGACCTTCCAATCAGTACTAAACTATGTGCAAATATAATTGCATAGACCACATGTCATCTCCCATTGATATTATATTTAGTACTACTCAGAAGATAAAAATACTTAACAGTATGCAGCATAATGTGCACATTTAAATAGGTTCAAAGTAAAACAACAAAAATCCCCAAAATCAAGCAAACACTTGATGTGTGTAATAAATACTCTATGAAAATGAGTTGTAAAAAGGCCTCCAGTGTTATCAAGCTCAGTATTACTTGCTTTAGAAAACAACTTGAAGGTACCAAACATTATACTATTTTATTGTTTTCTATGGCTTTGTGCTAAAGCAATAAAAGTGAATTGAGCTAAAAGTTTGAGAATAAATATTTACTTTAATCCTTACTTTTATTGTACTCTGGCAGTTAAAAGATTGTTGTTCCTTTGGAGCCTTCCATGTCAAGGGGTGAAGATGCAAACAATGTCACTGGGAGGACCAAAGGGGTTTGATGAATCTAGTTGTGAGGAAGCTGGTGGTAACTGAGATGAAGAGAACCACCCATGCACTGGATACTATATACTGTATGATGGAGGTTTCCTTACTTCTGATCTAAGATGAACTGTCCATATGCTTGTGTCTCACAAGGTACTTCTCTGCATACCATTTCTATAAATTGGATTCTTGTATGAGCCCCTATCTGCTGTCTATAGTGGTACAATTCCAATGTTAACTTCCTATGTTATCTCCTGTTGGTGAGCTTGGGTTTATTATAAAAGAAGATAAACAGTAAGAAGGTAGATAACTCCTAATAAAATATAACCCTATCATTGTCATATAAATGGAATGGAGAGAAGGATAAATCAGTTTTTAGGATGGAACTGAAAGTAGTATCAGGTTGCTTATGTTGCTTTTATTGGAGAAAAATGTTTAAATTGAACTTATTAAAATTATTATGAGGCTCTGAATAGCACTACTAGCAATATTATGTAAAGTTCTCACACAAAGAAGACTAAGGGCCTATACAAACCGGCCAAAAGAGCAGGCCTGGGGGTAGAGTTGAGGCAGTGCAACTACATGCCAGCCATCCAGACTCTGCCCCAATGCCACCATCATGCCGTGTACCCCACTGCATGGCACACAGCATCAGGGTGCTCCCACAGTCTAAACACTGTGCCAAAGGAGTGCAGAAGAGCTGCTATGGTGGCAGTAAGGGTGGCTTTTTGCCACTCCAAAATGCAACGGCAAATTGCTGGATCAGGGCTGCGGTGTGCAGTTGCTGTGGCCCCAATTTGGCACTCCCAGGGAGTGCACAGAGCTGCACCTTATGGGCTGTCTGTATGGCCCCATAATTTAGAATCTGAAAACAACAAGGCATTGTAAATCGCACTGTGATGCCTTTTAGTATCAGCTAAACTTTATGAAGTATTTTGAAGTTCCCTAGCTTAGATTCAGATACAAACTGCAGAAGCATGCAAAAACTTGCTTCAGGTGAGATATAAAATCTGAACTGCAAATTAATTCCTTCCTAGTACCCCTTTCTACACATTTTATCCCCATTCCATTATTGTTATTGGACAATATAGCCAGAGTTGTAATGATAGATCTCCAGCAGAGATGAGAATAAACCTTTTCTGTATTTTGGTCAATATGCTGCTAGTGCATCAGCAGAAAAGGCTTTTGGTAGTCGAGCTAAATATTAGCAAAAAACAGTACCAGTCCAAAACACTTTTTGAAA